GATTTTAAATTTTATTCGTCTTGAAACAATAATTCTTGATAATGTACGAGATAAAAATTTTAACAAATTCTTTGATTATTTAATATGTTTAACTACTCTTCATGCAATAACTATTTCTTTTGCTGGACATATTTCATCATTAGATATTATTTTTTCTCAAATATTTCGTTTATCGACATTAAAATATTGTAAAATTGAATATCAACAATTATTATTTATTGATTTTATTAATTATGATTCTAGTTCAATAGAATATTTAATAATAAATGGTCGTTTTCCATTTAGCGCATTTCATAATTTATTATGTTGTCTTCCCAAACTTCAACATTTATCAATTAATTCTCTTGTTAATTGTGGTGATTATCGAGAAAGAAACCAATTATCTTCTATTCAATTAAAATATTTAAAACATGTTTCTCTTAAACTTGATGTACATTTTGATAAATTTGAGAAAATTATCAAAGAATTTTTTTATCATATTCAAATTCTACGTCTTACAATAGAGTGTGATGACAGATATTTAGATGCTAAACGATGGCAACAATTAATCTTATTTCATATGTCATATTTACGTATATTTGATATTAATCATCAAGGTTTTCTACGCGAAATAGATTTAAGATATCGTTATATAAATAAACAATTTTATTCTTCGTTTTGGAATGAAAAAAAATGGTTTTTTATATATTATTATGAATCGAAACGCCAATTTAATTTTGAAACTTTTTATTCGACTCGTCCATATCGGTAAATAGAAATTAATTTCTTATACAAAAGAAATAGGATAGTAATGTCGATTTTCGTTTTTCTTCAATAGAAAAACTACTGAATGAAAATATTTTCTTCCGATAGCTTTCTATTGAAAACAATTACTCGCTTATCATTATAGATTATTCTTTATTTCATTTATTTAGAAGAAAAGATTATATGTATTATACGGAGATAGATGAAAAACCTGGTTTACATAATCAAAGAGAAAATTTCAAGTCAGTCAAACATCTTTATATTGCGCGTAAAATAAAACCAAATTGTCGAAATTATTTTTCAAATGTTAATCAATTAACTATTGGATATGATGTTGAAATATTAGATGATGATTCATTTATAACAAATCTTAAGTGTATGATTCCTTTAAAACAACTTACAAAATTAGTTATTAACCTTCGTCGTTTTCCATTCGAAGAAATTATTAAATTATTATGTTTAACACCTAATTTACACACATTACAATTTGATGAATATTCTTTGCAAGAGATTGATTCAAATTTCACTAAATACAAAATACTTTTACAATATATATTAAAGAAAAATAAAATTGAAAATTTAGTTCTTACTGGTAGATGTTCATTGAATAAAATTCGATTCATTGTTTGTGTATTTTCGAAATTAAAATATCTTAAAATTGGAATAAATAGAAAAATATCATCAATAATTCAATATTTATTATCAAAAACTCATAATCAAGCACAACACTTATTTTATTTATGCATTTCAACTGTTCCAAAAGTATATTTAAAAGAAACAAAAGATTTAATTAAATTAGAGAATTTACTTGATAATTACTCTATTGAATTTATTAATGAGGATTTACATTTATGGTGGTAAAAATTTAGTTTTTTAAGACTTGTCCCATTTATTTATTTTCTTGTTGTATATCATGATGATAGCTTTGTAATTCATTTAATAAATAAATCAGAGATTGAACTTTCAATAGATATATTTAGGATTTATAATTGCAGAAAATCGAAAATAATCATCCATATTAAATGAATGTTTATTAGAAGATTTGAAAAAGAATAAATTATAAAATCTCGAGAAGTTGAAATTTACGGAAAGTATTGTTTTTAGTAACTTTCGAGACCGAATATAAGGAAAAAAATAGGAGTTTTTCTAATTTTGGCGTCAAGTGATATCATTTTGTGGAATTTATGTATATTTTCAGAAAAAAACCATACTGAGTGTACTTTTAAATCAATATTTTTTTTAACTCTTCCAATATGGACCTTAGTAATGACAGATAGACTTAGAAGATTCTGGAGCATTCTAGAATCTTCGTGATCATACAAATGACTCGAATATTTGAAAAAAACTCGGACTCGTATTTTTTGCATAGGTAAAAGATTATACAATCTTTATCAAGGATATTTTAACCAATAAATAGGTTGTATTAAAAAAACAAAATATACCACAAGATGCAGCGTGAAAAGCTCTACAATTTACACACTAGAGCTGATTATAATTGTTTTCAAAAAAAGGAAAATTCTTTGTGATCAAATTTGGCACGGTTGAAGTTTGATTGTTCCAAATTTTGTCTATTTTGAAAACAAATAATGCAACTGTAAGACAAGCGATCTTATGTAAATTGTAGAAATTTTCACGTAGCATCTTGTGGTATATTTTTTTTGTTTAATGAAAGGCATCTAGAGGTCAAAATATGAAACACAACATTCTGCCATTTATTATAAGCCATCCGTTAATAAATGTGTGCAAAAAGCTGATTTGTTTTTATTAAATTAATCATTAATTCTATAATATCAACTAGTCAAAACTCAATAAATAAAAAAACGATCAGGTGTGAGTGTGGGTGGGCAAAGAGTACATCGACCTCATTGGAAATGTCTCAGTGAATATTAAAATGATTAGATTTGGATTTGGTTATTAATGATCTTTCTTTAATTTTTCTTTTAAATTCGAACTAATTAACTTTTCCAGTCGAATATTGTCATCTAGCAATATTAAGTCAATATTTCGTGAAGGGCTAAGTTTTAGTAGCGATATAAAATGTTTTAACAATTTGATAATTAGTACAGAACATTTCAACATGTATTCTAGATTCATAAGGCAAAATAACTTCTCATTGAGAAGATGGATAGATATAATCACAATACCCCTCAAGTTTGTCTGAATCGTAAAAATTATTTTTCTGAATGTCTAAACATTCAATGTCAAAGGCAACTAGTGGCTAATCTTCTTTAGTAGACCTGCTGTGTATTGCATCGCTACAGTGAATTATTCAATATATTCGGGCAACGAAAACTAAGGATTTTGTCAAATGGTAAGATCTGACCGAAAAGGGCTAAAAATTTGAAAAGTTGATTTTTTTTTGTTCGTCTACTTAAGCGCACCTTTGTGTTTTTTGCTCGCCCATACCTCGATAGTTCGAGTCTCTATCCCATCAAGCATAGAATGACCGATTTTTTACTTTTTTTTCAAAATATTTCGCCTTTGCGTTTAATCTGTTTGTCAGTTATTTGAGCATCTGCCGACAGCTTTCCATCCTTTTTCACCTCTTCTTCTCTCTCTGTTCAAGATAGAAGTGAAATAGGAGCGACAACAAGAGATGACTTTCAATCGATATGCTGTTTTCACTGACTATAGGCATCTCGCAGATATAAAAAAGTATTTTCCGAGCGTGAAATCAACGTCATCGAATGTGCAATGGTCGAAAACCTATAAAACCGTCAATAGAAAGAAAAAAACAATGAGTATTTAAGAGAAAGTCGAAATTCAATTTTGTTTTACGTTTTTCTCAAAATTAATTTTTCTGCGAAAAAAGTACTGTTTCGCCCCCATTTCTCCGGGATGGTAAGAGGTATCGAGCTGAAATTTTTTCCACATATACTAGATACTATTTGGGGTACGTATTTTTTTTTATTTCAAAAAATATTGCTCTTGTGATTTTTGGCAGCTTTTACAAAATTTGTGATAGTAAAAAACAAGCTTTTTTTAAGCGTGTCTTTGGTATTTTGGCTTTTTTATTCGGAAGACAAAAGATATAAGGAAACCAAAAAGAATACGCACCCCAAATAGTGCTTAGTATGTGTAAAAATTTTTCAGCTCGATCGAACGTAGTATCCCGGAGAAAGGGAGGCGAAAAGTAGGGTCATTTTGACCCATTGTGATCCTAATATCTCACGGAAGACAGCATCTGGGAACTTTGAGTCTATGACAACTTTTGCTCTACTCATCAAGATCTATCCGCTCTGAAAGTTTCGAAATTTTCTGATGAGCCGTTCTCCAGAAACCCTGGAAAGGTGGGGGGGGGGGTATCCTTAAATTAAAAATAAAATTAATTCTGAATTCCATCAGCAATTCCATGTAGGCTTGAACTAAGAAAATAAAAATAACTCATTTTAAGGAGTCCTCCTCAGAATCGATTTATCACTTAGAACGGATCGTTTGGGCTAAAAGGGTGTGAGTGTGGGTGTGTGGGTGTGGGTGGCGTGGGTATGAGTATCGTTGCTTGCTTCATCCACACCCACACTGGCACCCCTATCGATACCCCATCCACACCGACATCCACACCCGTGTATTGCTCTTTTTGTGAATAGTTGATGTCCTTGTATAAAAAATGCTGAAATTATTGTTTTTAACATCCAAGAAGAACAGTACAAACTCAATATCCTGCTGAAGTTATGTGAAATCAGCAAATGTTGCCAACTATATACGACTTTTTGGACGTTTTCCTGCAAATAACTTTTCACAAAAAAAGAACCAGATTTCTGTCTGCACGGTTTAATGAATGATTCAGATTGTTCCAATACGAAACATTTTTTATTTAGTTAATAAGAGTGAATCTTGCGAAAAAGGAACAAATGTTGTTTTCCGAGACTCATCAAGAATTTTTGTTTTTCTGACTTAAAGTTCACTGATAAAGTGGAAAACTTTGATGGAAAGCAAAAACGACTTCTATACAAAACAGTATCGTTTCAGAAGTCGTGGTAAATATGTTTGCTCGTTTTTGCAGACATTTAAATGTAATTCAAGAGAATTGAAGCTAGAATTTGATGCTATTTCTAAATATATCTTTAGAATTTCGCACTGATTTACATCTTTTTAGCTTTAAGAAAATACCTGAATAAATAAAAAATGTCGTTTGCGCTACTCAAAAGACGTTTTTTTTTCTATTGTTGGTAATTTCTCTGAAGGATATGTTACAAACGTTTTTCGAAATACTACTTTTTATATGAGATGACATTTTCAAAGGAATCGTTTCTTGCAAATCTCGGTATTGAAATGCAATAGATTTTGATGGTTTGCAACGATATGTCGGAAGGATATTTTGTAGAGCAAGTTTCGTTCTACAAACTGGTGTATAAGAAGACTTCCTTATAGTTTAAATTGAGGTAACAAGAATGGACTACGTGAAAAATTCTGTACAAACGTCGCTTTGGACTTCTATCAAAGATGTGCTCTCTATGAATGAACTTATAATAATAATTAAAAGAGTATGAGTGAGAAACCTGAAATAAGCTCGCGATTATTGGACTTATGTTTAGCTCTTTTAGAGAAGTCCGCATAAAAACAAAATTAAAATGAACTATTTAATATAAAAAGACTGACGTCTATGTGATCTTCTTAAGACAAGTCTTAGATAATAAAATCTATTCCTGAATAACTACAGAAAAAAATATTTGACTCCATTCTCTGGATTACATACATCTCTCCCACATTAATTAGAGATAATATTACAAATATTTACTGAAAAAAAATCTTTCTTCTAAATTTAGAAAATTTTTTATAGAGCAGAATCTTTGGTAGTAAGTTCTAAAGGTTTCGTACCGAACTTATTCTACAGAAAGAAATAATCATCCAACGATCGATCAATTCGTAGCGAAAAAATGAATTCAACACATGCATCGTATGATTATTAAAAGATTTCTCATCAATCGAATAAATATTTTTCGAGAGGAGCTATTATCCTATGATAATTTTTTTTTGCCATAGACTTCATATCATCTGAAGTTATTTTCCTTTGCTACAAGGGAATTATCATTTACTTTAATCAACTTGTTAAGTAGATGTTTCCAAGTGCAAACCAATATCTGGCATCTGATCCATGCTTCAAGAATGTATGGGAAACTATTACGTTCAAAAAATGTAATTCGTAATTGGAAACTAGTTGACATAATTATATCGTCAGTTTTTTGTAATTACATCGGTATCGTATTCTTGAAATAGAAAAAAGAATAAAGAATTTTTACTTTCATTTATCATACAGCGCACATTCATTAAGAGTAAAATATGTCTAACTCAACCAATACAACAATTGGGCCATCATCTGATTTAGTACGAGCTGCAATAATCTTGCCAGTGATGGACAAATATACGCTGATTGTATTATATATTTGTGGAATTCTTGGCTCAGCACTCAACATTTTTACACTTCTACAAAAAAAATTTCGGAAAAATCCATGTTCGCTCTATTTTCTCTCGGCTTCAATGACTGATTTCTGTGTTATGAACGCAGTTCTTATGATGGAAGCCATGCGGTATTTGAAACCATCATTATATACCTACATGAATTTAACGAGACTCTGGTGTAAACTAGGAAAATATCTTGTGTTTATTCTACCTTGTCTATCATCTACCTTTATTACTCTTGCTTGTATTGATCGTTTCTGTACTAGTTCACATCGTCAACGGCTTCGTAAACTAAGTCAACTAAAAGTGAGCCGTATAGTAATACCATTGGTATTATTGATATGGGTTCTATTCTCATTACATATTATTATTTCATTCGATATGAGGTCATATCCACCAATAAAACTAGATCAATGTAGAAGTCCACCTGATGCATATGTATTTTTCTTGATTGTCGATGGCTATTTCTTTGCTATGTTTAATGGTGCCATTGTTCCTTTATTTCTTTCGATTTTTGGTTTCTTGATCTATCGAAATGTACAACTAAGTCGTAGACGAATTGCTCCAATGCCGACAACAATTACCAATAGAACGGTAGTAACAGTACACAATCCAAATTTAAATCGACATAATTTACATTTGATAACCATGCTCTTAGTACAATCGACTCTAACAGTTATTTTTAACATACCTTATATGGCAATCTATCTCAATAGTTACTACAATAATGCTCCAACCAATCAGCTGCTTCTTCTTGTCTATATTATATTCGTGTACGTTGCAAGATGGTTCTGGTTTCTGAATTATGCCAAAACATTTTATGTCAACAGTTTATCGAGTCAAGTGTTTCGAAAAGTTCTTAAACAACAATTGAACAATCTCAGTCAGCAATCGAGAGCGAGAGTTCTGCAATTGACAAGATCTTGAGATCTAATCATAGATATTCAATAAACTAGTTTTGATGTTCACATTACTATTCAATAAAACATCAGATTTATCTATTTTTAAAACACAGAAATTCCTTGAAGATGAGAATAACAGAGTCCGAAATCAATCGAACTTGATTCTAAAAATTTTAGCTCGTTTCAGACTCTGTTGCACAAAAACATTTTACAGGTATCCATATGCTTGCTGTCAACATGTGAGTCACTTATTTAATTACTCACCAAGTCTATTTCAAGAACTCGATAGTCTATTAGTACCATGACAATCAAACGTATCTCACTTTTCATTCGAATCAGAAGACCATACACAACATAAAATTGAAGGTTGCTGGTCTGTTTCTATTGTAACACATCTTGATTGATGGGCTCGAATCAAATACGATATATTTGCTGTGTCACATTTTCAAAATCAAATAATACTGAGAGAACATATTTTCCATGAAGAGTTAAGTATGAAATAACACAATAAAAAGGAAGAGCGAGACTGATTTATTGCTTGAGGATTATCTCATATCTTCAACTTCACTTATTGTTGAACCTGTTCGTTGTCGATCTCAAAGTTTTGACAATCATCAAAAGATAAAAATACAAATACTGTTTGTATTCGTCGTTCATCTCATTACAACAAGTCCACTTCACAGATGAGCAGCTTCGGCCTTTATCTGCTCCTCTCTGAAGTCAAAGCTACCACCTCTGGTCTGATCTGTAGTTATGAATCTTGCAACTGATTGTTGCTATATTTGTCTGTCGATAGCTAAAATTCATCAGCTAGATGTGATAACTGTACCAACAGAAAATTCAAATAAAGGTGTATACACCTTTTTCTAGCCGTCTATACGAAAGAAGAGAAAGAGATTGATGAGATGAGCTCACCACACACTTGATCGAATCGATGTTGAGAATGAAATGAAGAGAGAACGTCCGAAAGTGAATACAAGAACAAAAGAAAGAGAAATTGTAAGAAAAAAATGTGTTTAGAATATCTTAACGATGGCCGATTTCTGAGAGAATTTTTCCAACTAATGGAAAATAGCATATGTGAACCCAGAAAGATTGCTTATCTCTTTCATCGCTATGATCTGACGAGGGAATATATTTGAGTGTATTCGCGCAGAGTGAATTAAGAACCATTCTGCGTGAGTACGTTCAAATGTTTTCTGATGAGAAGAATATTTCCTACTCCAACTTTCATCATTTTGTAAAAAGAACGAGAGGGCACTTGCTATAAACAACACTCGAACTTGTGCTATATGCGACGCGTTATCGCTGAGTATGAGAATGTAAACGATGTTCTGTCAGTTTTCTCTAATGTGTTTGATCCTCTTGTGCTAAAGGTGATACAACCGTAAAAATCTATCGGCATGAAATAGTGAACCAGATAGTCGACTGTTTACTGTTTTAGCTAAAACAATCGATTTCAATGGATTACCGAGTTAGCCCTAATGAATGGCCATGTTTTATATTTCATTTTTTTTTATCCTTGATACGCTTTGTTAAAAAAAAACAGAATATATCATGATCGAACCCATCAGCGGATCTGGTTTTTTTAAAAATTTATTCTTAAAGGTAAAAGAGTTTCATATACGGAGAAAATTTAAACGACAAAGTACAATTCTTGTTTATACAATATAGAAAAAAGAAAAATTTTATATTTGAAAGATAAACATCGAGAGTAAAAAGAAAACGGTTTTTTAAATATAATGAAGCTATTTGCCGTCTGTAGAGAAAAAAGCTGAATCATTTTTCTCATCGAGGTAATCCGTTCTTCTGAATCATCGCCGTCGCCTTTCGTTCGTATTCAGCTCGATTTTGCATGAATTCCTTAGCGACGTCTATAACAAAGCAAATGCAAAAGAATAAGTAGCCTACTGTTCAGAACAAACCGGTATTCGTTGGCATATTTTCAGGTTTCGGATTATCAAGAGCGTCAACGATAATCTCAAGAACGTCGATCAAAGTCGATTTATTGTTCCACGACTCAGAAGCATTTAAACGATGATCACATATTCGATCTAAAATCTCTGATATTATTATCAAGTTTTATTTGTTTTCCTGTTTCTCAACAGGAAAAAATCGATAAACTTCACTCACTTTTTTCGTCAACATTTGGATGATAGATTGGTGTCACTAAGACCACTTCAGGTGGTTTCATCGGATAACCTGGTGGTAGATGGATTTCAATTTTAAGAGCATGATTTTTATAGATATTCGATGTTAACCATAATCGTCCAACGATGACATTTTGGGCATAATTCTCGGGCAATTCGTCTTGTGGATACTCGAATGAGGAATTTTCGTAAAAAAACTTGCCCTGTTTTAGATTACTGTCTTCATTCAATAATTTGACTTTACTCAATTCTGTCCAAAGTTTCTTATTTAACGGACTCGGAGCTGCCGCCTCTGCCATGGAAGGAATGACAATGATATAATCTGAAAAGCATTATATAAATAATGTGTTTATACATTGGTCAGATTTAAAGAGAGAATCACATGATGATTGACTGCATTTTTGCAAATTTCTGCATGTCTATGGGTTTTTTGCTCTATGGAAGGAACGAAAAGAACTGACTGATGCATTTGAAAATTTCCAACAATTGTCGTGTCATGTTTTCAAATGGTTCCTATTCAGTTAATGAATTGTCTTTTCTTTCCTTCTTGCCATTTAAGTCTCCACGTTTCTGAAAAGACAATATTTATTCGAACTAGCTAAAACTTAATGCTCTCGTTTATGGAGTTTATTTTTAAAATGCCTGATATTTTTTTCCTTTTGAAACAAAACGTTCTTTTTATCGAAAAATTTTCTTTATTAATCGGTGATATTTCGAAGATCAGTTCGCCTTGGCCGTGCTTTCCGATTAGTTACATTGTCCCTCAAAAAACAGAAGAAGACAACAGGATATTAGAATTTCCTGAAAAGTTATCCGAGTGTGTGTAGTATTCGGTATTTCACCGAGTTTTGAAGGTTTTTCCTTTTACTATCAAAGTTTTAACCGAATTTCGGAAAATCTTGTCTTTACAAATGAAGTCTTTTCCCTGATAAATTGGATTAAATTCGATAGAAGAGAAACTCCAAATATTCTAGTAAGATCTGAAGTCTATTTTCTATGTTTAATCAATGACTAGAGATCTGCATAGTCTGAGTTTTTCGGCTCCGATCTCATTTAAACGTGTGTACTTAGAAAAAGGACTAGAAAAATTGAGAAAAATCCAGAATTATTCAGCTTTTTGTCTTATTAAAGAATTTCCTTTCATAAAAAGTACTCTCATTTTGAAGAATCTGTATCTGTAACCTTTTTTTAAATCGTACGAGAACGAAAAGAGAGTTCACCATTCGAAAAACGGCTCTGAGAAATATCGATAGGGTAGCCATGTTGTTTAAGCATCTAGCTTAGACATGAACGGGACTAGTCATTTTTGATTCTGGTTCCGGCGGGATCTGGACCATTATGCTCATGTCTAGTCTAGCTAGAATCCAACTGTTCGATAAATGTCATTTTCTGAAAGCTAACTTCGAAAAAATCCCTCATGCAACATGTTACCTTCTAAAAAAAATAGGTGCAGTGTGAAACCTAAACAGATAGAAAGTTTAATGGGTAAATCCTATTTCACTCTATTGATTGTATAAAACTTACGCGTACATGCTATGTGACACACATAAGATGGAAAAATAACTAGAAAAAACATCCACAATTGTTTTGTGGCGTGTCTACTAATTAACGTAGAATAGGTGACACGACACGACGACAATCTCACAACACACAACAAGCGATTCATTAACGTTTGAAGTAAAAAAAGGAAGAAAGATATAAAGTGAATGCAGCACCTCTCTTCAATATTTGCGTTTTTTTCTCGTTGCTACCATGTGCATGTGTGAAGCAAAAGAACAGAAAGAACCAATGAGCGGTGGCAAGAGCAGAATAAAAATGTACGTGCATTTTTATGAGAACACTCTCTCCATCTTGTCGTAAACATATTTGCGCACAGATAAAAATGTAAGAAGAAAGGCAAAAATAATATTCATTACCATCTCGCTTGATCATGTATGAAATATCGGGTGCGCTATGATGAATGGCCGCATTTTGTATCTCATTGTTTATCCTTAATACGCTTCGTTAAAAAAAATTAAGTATACCAAAAGATGCAACATGAAAAGCTCTACAATTTATATACAATTGCTTCTCTTATAACTGCACTTTGTCCTTTCAAAATAGTCAAAACTTCGAGCGACCAAATTTCGACAGTGCAAAAATTGACCTTAGAGAATTTTGCTTTTTTTGAAAACAATTATAACTGTGTAAATTCCAGAGCTTTTCTCACTGCATCTAGTGGTATTTTTTGTTTTTTTTTTTTTGAATAAAAGATTTCAGGTAGCAAAAAAGAAAAAATATGTATTGGTCGTGTATTGAAAAAAAACTTTTTCACAACATCAAAATTTGGTCGCTCAGAATTTCGGTCAGTTTTGAAAACGAACAGTACAACTGTAAAAGAAGTGGTCTTGTGAGGCTTTTCACGCTGCATCTTTTGGTGCTAAACCTGAATTTGGTCGAAAAATAAAAATGTCGAAAGATAAGAATGATGAAAGATGATATACGAGGATAGTAGGGGTGTGGGTGAAGATGAGGATATGATGATGACAGTCAGTTAGGGTGTGGGTGTGGATGTGGGTAGGTATGGGTGTGAGTAGATGTGGGCATGTGAGTGTGAGCATATGTTAAGAAAAGAAATATGTTCACAAGCCACACCCATACCCTCGTTGCAGTGACAATGGAACAGTTTGTATATTCAGTAAAAATTCAGCTGTCATTACTGAGAAAAATAATTCTTTTTTTAGGTATAATATTTAAGATATTGATTTCTAGTTGGTCATTGTTATTAACGTTCACGAATGCCAGTGAAATTCACTATAATAAAGTAGAATTGATATTCCGAGTAGCAAATGCATCATCGTCATAGTTAAACAAAATATTCGCCTGATTTGCCGATCTGTCTGTAATAACAAAGATATCACATAAAGCTAAAAAAAATTTTTCCTTTGAATCATTGTATTTCTAGAAAACTTAATCAATCTTCTGTTCGCTATCGATCAATGACTCAGCAAGAAAGTTTTATTTCTCCTAACGTATATTCTTATTCTCTCATTTTTATCAAAGGAAATAACACCATCCGATGTAAAATTTTTTCAAACGAGATTTATTCTTTGTCTATAATTACTCATGTTTAACATCTAGTTTCTTCATTTTTGCGTTTCTACTTTTTCTAGGACATATGTTGGAAAGAAAAAGTATTTTCCATGAAAACAACGGATGCTTTTTCTTGAGAAGCATTGATTAAAAAAAATCACAGAAAAACCTTCTGTTTCTGTTTTCATCAATAAGTATCATATATTGATGCTGAAAAAACGAGAAAACTCATTATGTTAGATAGTTTTTCTTTGCCAATATTTCATCATAACGTAATTATAAAGACACATTTATCATTATTGTGAAAGATATTCAAATGTATTCTTATGTATAATAAAAGGAGTTAAATTACATATAGAAATTTTATTTTCTACAGGATAATTGAGTTGATGTTTATTTGCATTTTATACAACAGGCAATGATAAAATTAGTGACTCATCAAAGAGAATCCGTACATTGTACAATATAAATACAAGTATAAGCGAGAGATAAAATAAAAAGAGAATGAAGTCTATCAGAAAACTTTATGAATAAACCAAAGACAGTTTCTGTTGATGATGAAAATTAAATAAGGAAAAGACATTTCTTTTTTAAGTAATTTATCAATGACAGTCCGTATATAAAATGCCGACACTATGGCTATGTGCCACAATGATATCAAGTTGATGATCGTCATTGACATCATTGATAGCAATAGCATATGGATTATAATCCATTGGATAAAGTGTTTGATTAACGAATGTATCATTATCTGTATTGAGAAATATACCAATATTAGCAGAACCGAAATTTGCAACAACAATATCAAACTTATCGTCGTTATTAACATCATTTATTGCCACCCAGATTGGTATTTGATCAGTTTCATAAGTCATTTGCTTACTGAATATGCCATTATTATGATTAAAGTAAATAGCGATGTTATCTACTCTAATGTGTGTGACAATAAGATCAGGATAATTGTCACCATTGATATCTGCAATTGCTACTGATTGTGGATCCGGCTCACTCGAAAAAGTAGTACCAGCAATAAAAGTCCCACTACCAATTGTTGAAAAGAATAACAATTTTGTGAACAGATGGACATAAAGCAATGATATCGAGAGTATGATCACCATTAAGATCAGCTATTGTCACAAAATGCGATGGACATACAGTACGATAAAAGACTGCTTCTCCAGGGAACATACCATTGCCGTCATTGAGCTGAACATTTACTCCTTCTGCACTACGATATCCAATAATAATATCAGAATATCCATCAGCATTAAGATCTTCTGTTGTCAAGAAGAGAGGATCAGTTCCGATGGAATAATTCATATGTTCAGTAAATTTACAGTTACCATTATTGAGATAAATCAAGATTTTTTTGAATTCTGAGTCTAAGATAACAATGTCACGTTTATTATCGTTGTTAACATCTGCTGTTGACACTGGTCTCAGCCAAAGAATTGTAGGCAAAGAAATTGTATGTATAGTAAACGTACGATTGCCATCGTCATATAAAATATCTATTTTTTGAGATGAACTGTCCAAAGTAATGATATCATATCTATTGTCATTATCAACATCATCGATTACCATTGACGATAAACTGGTATCAGTAGAATAGTTTTCTACCGTAGCATAGGTTTTAATGCATTGAACTGTAATAAAATAGAAAATTTTCTGCTTAGACATTATATTTAATCAAGCTTTTACTTAAATTTATTTAAATAAAAACATTTATCTACATATTTTTCTTCACCAGATTTTTTAAATATTTGCTAAGCAAAAACAAAACAATATAGGCTTATCAACTTAATCGAGCTTTTCTATGTTATTATATAAAAAGATTCTATTTCTTTTTAGTCTAATTATATCATCCATTGACTTGGAAAAGAAGTAAATCTACCAATCATTTATTGAAATTTTCAATCCGGACTTTTCAGTCGGAGGGATTAATACAATTTTATAAAACATGATCAAAATTTTAGCTATTGAGAAATCCAAATTAGTTATACATTTGTTGCCATTTTTGATAAATGTCTTCAAGATTCAGATATTTCCATCGCAAAAAGTCTTTTGTTAATTTTTTTTTCACAAGATCTGAAAAATCGAAACTCGAAAGTTTTAACACATAGGGTTTGTCTACTCAATTCGAAAAACTCAGATTGAAAGTTTCAATAAATAATCGGTAGATCTACTTTGATAAACGCATTGGACTACTTTATTATGATAATCGCAATACCCTGATTCAAGTGGAGTACAAAAATCCAAATCCCTCTACATTCACTTGACAAAACAAAAAAACGTTTAATTGTCTATAAATGTGATTATACACCCTGTTTTGTTGTCAATATTTCATCTGTTATTGATACTCGTGGTGTTGTTGTTGTTATTTTAGCCGTCTTTTTTGTTAAAATAATACTTGTTGGAACAACAATAACCATAATGACTAACAGACCAGCAGTGATACTAAAAATAATTCACAATAATTTTTTTCTTTGAATCATTGTATTTCTAAATAATGAATCGAGCTTTTTGTTACTTTATGAATTTACATACTTAGTTATTGTAGGTAAATTTGATTCATTGTTTGCCATTAATCGAGATTATTACACTACTTTTATTTTCTTGATGTGTATTCTTAATGAAATAATGCCAGTTCGTGTAATATTTTCTTAAACAAGCTTTTTTTTATCGACAGATGGTTACCAATGTTTTACATCTGTTATTTTATTTTTCGCGTTTTTTACTTTTTCTAGAACATGTAGTGTGAAAACATTTAATATTTGTCGGATAATCATTTATTGAAAAAACATCTAGTAAAACTTTATGTTTCTGTTTTAATTAATCATTATGATATTCTGGTATTGAACAAGAGAAATTCATTGAAGAGAACGTGCGTCCGAATGTATGTTCAACATCTCATTATGCTAAAGAATTATAGTTAGTAGGTTAGTGAGATTATTTTTTCTTGTTATTTTTCGCATATACTCTAGGCTTTTAAAGTTAAAACAGACAAAAAAAACATGAGTAATAAAATAATTTTTTTTTTGTTTCAAAAAGATGAACGATTGTCTGGTCGGAATTTAATGATTTTGAATTTTCTAATCCTAATAACGATAGATTTTTTTTTACTAACAATGAAAGGGTCTGTACTGATAAGCGAATTGATTGACCTTATTCGGATCAAATGATCAGTTTCACCGAGAAACTAACGAATTTAAAATATGACGTGCCTAGACAGAGATCTTTGAATCTCAAAGTATATGAAATTTAGGTATAAAAATGAATTAGGAAAGGTTTTCTTTACTATTGTAAGGGCAAAACATAGTGCTGTTTAGAGGGATCCTCTGTCATATGGTCCGAACAACACCATGTTTGGTCTTTATAATAATAAAGTGAACTTTTTTGGTGGCTGATAGAAACCACCGGTTTCTATGAGCTACAGAAAAACTTCACTACTATTATAAGGACGAAGCATAGCATTATTTTGGCCATATAAGAGTATTCTTGATAACTCCAGATTGGCTCGAATAATGCTATGCTCCGTCCTTATAATAGTAGAGCGAAGTTTTCCTATCGCTCATAGAAACTGGTGGTTTCTATCAGCCACCAAAAAAAGTCCACTCTATTATTATAAGAACAAAACATGGTGTTGTTCGGACCATGTGACAGAGGATCCCTCCAAACTCCCTAATTGGTCCAAACAGCACTATGTTTTGCCCTTACAATAGTGAACAAAAACCTTTTCTGATTCATTTTTATACCTAAATTTCATATACCTTGAGATTCAAAGATCTCTGTCTAGACACGCCATCAGCACGTCATATTTTAAATTCATTAGTTTCTCGGTGAAACTGATCATTTGATCCGAATAAGGTCAATCAATTTGCTTATCAGTACAGATCCATCCATTGTAAGAGAAACATTTTAGTATAAGATAAAAAAAGAGTGCTATGATAGAAAAACTGGATTGACTAAAGAATTGAACCATCGAATAAAGCAAAGTTTTAAAGATGTTTGTCTACAAAGAATTTATTGATCTCAGACTGATCTGTTGGAACATGTCTTTGAAAATAATGGAATGTTATATATATTAATAAAGAGTAAACAGTTTCAAACTGTATCAATCCATAGGTAAGAAAGAAAAATTCGTGTGTATTAAGGAGCAGATTCATATTGACTTGAATGATCGGGTACTGAGACCAATTTAGTCTTATATCAAACAGCAACTAGAGAAGCCCATCGGATTAGCTTCGGATCCAGCGGGCTCTAGTGAAGAGTAAGAGTCAATTATAACTGATTTATTATAAGATCAATGTCAATATTACTTGAGAAATGCGCAAGATGTGCTAGCCCCTGATACAAATAACCGAAAAATGGCATCTCATATGTATGAAGCGACTATTAAGTTCAGGTAAAAAAACTTTATTGAAAGTATGAAGAATATAGGTCAGGTTCAGGTGTGGCCTAAAGCCGAAGAAGTTGAATCAATCAAGTCCGGGCCCAGATCTGGTTTCGGGCTCTAGCAATTAGTGAATAGATTTTAACATAGTTAATTGAATCTTATAGAAGACAGTATAAACTCCAAATCATATGAGTTCTGACGAACTGCGAAAAGTCAAATAGCTATATAAATATTAAAAAAACAGTGCATGGCCAATTTATTCAACGATGTTTTCAAATCAAAGAAACATTCGGCTTTTCTGAATTATTATTTTTTGAATAAATATTCGTAAAGATTGATTCCAAAACAAAGCAGCTTGCATATTGTCAGATATTTGGGAATTTTCTCTGAAATAATAATGAATAAGACAGCCTTGGAATTCTCCTTTTGACCTTTTGTTATCATTAAAAAAACATCGTGTTTTCTTCCACTGAAACAGTATCCGTAGTATCTTATCATGAGAATGAAGCTGCTTTATTTACTTTCATTTTTTATTCTTTACCTTTGGAGAAATAAAAAGATTTCATACGACAAGAATTGTTACTTGCATAAAAAATCGACGTGTCTTTTGGAAATTATCAAAATAAATAAATATATAGGAACTGATCTGGTGAAGGTAAAAGGTGCGTCGAAAATTCGTGATGTTTTTATAAATATTTTTTAGAACTTATTTTTAGTAGGAGCGCATCTTTATTTATTTTTCTTTTTGATAATTTCAGTGTTACCGTCGACTCATTATTTACATGAAACTACATCTTAAGCTTAGAATGGGATCAAAATGTTCATCAGCAGCTATCGAGAATCAACCATTGTCTTCCATCAATCGCAGAGCTATCGATACATCTGATTGTCTTGGTTCTTTCTATGATATATATCGAGATCAAGTGCTCGGAAAATTGACTCTGAGGATCAAGACGAAACAATCTCGGCAACACAACAATCCAGAATTTAAGATTGTGAAAGGTAAAACGAATGACCATCGAAATCTTCTTAAAATGATCGATGTTCAAGATGAGTTACGATTAAATATATTATTAAAATTAGCACCTAGGACTGAATTTACTTCATTCATTGATCATCTTTATCCAATAGATGAATATACCCGGATTCTGTTTTATACTTATTTGAGTCGAAAGGAAGAATTGTCAAAGAAAGCAGAAGAACAGATTAAATCATCAATGCTTCGAACTGATGCAACTCATATTATCACTGGTGTAAGCTGGGGAATTTATTTTGTTGCAGTCCTACAATTACCACCTGACACTACAATGGTTGAAACCATCGATATTACACTCGAGAACATCAAAACATCCTTGTTTGATGACGATAATTTTGAAGAACTAACTTTAAATGAGCCAGATGAACCTCAGAAGTTTATCAATATGAAAGTCTATTCGAATATTCCTACACTAGCTAGAACGACGTCATTAACAGATGCATGTCAAAAGATACGTCATTTCAAAGTAAATGATATCGAGCATCGTCCAATAAATTATGATCTTCGTGTTATAAAAGAAATCTATCCTCAACAGACTGACCCAACAAATACAGTTGGTATACGGTGCAATGACCAAGTTGAACAACGTTTCCTTGAATTATTAAGTACAATCAAATATCTATACTCATCTATCAATGACAATATATCAAACGTATTGCGTGAATATTTCAAAGTACAACTGTGTGACATAAATATACGATTATTAGCTATAAAAAAGAAGTACGAGGACGAACGCAAGCGATTTGTCACATTACTTCTTGATTGGCGTCATGCTTATACTGGAATATCTCAAATTGAAGAGGCACTTAATGATGAACAACAAAACATATTGATAAAAAATATCGATGATTTGAAACAGGATCAACAAGACTTAAAGGCAAAAGAACAGTTGATTAATAATTTACAGAAACAAGAAATTCAATATTGGAATGCAGCTGGACGTGATTTAAATCAATTTGATTACGAACAAAGAGTAGAACAGATGTTAATCAGAGATGATGGACTCGATCGAGTTCTCTGTTCTAATGATACCTTGAACAAAAGCAAATCGCCAATATTTAATAAACTACGTGATGAACTTCTTGAACAACGCAAGAGCAATCCTAATCTGCGTCTTACTTACGCTGATTTTTCATATTGCTCCTTCCCAGTATCCAATATAATCATATTACCACAAAACCAAATGAAAAACAAGGAAGACACTAGAAAACAGAGTACATCTATACAGGCTATTCATCCACAAATCTGTGATACACCAGCCTCGTCATCTCAGGACGATATCGTCAATATTCTTCTTCTCGGTGAAAGTGGAGTGGGTAAATCAACATTTATCAATGCTTTTGTCAACTATCTTACATACAATACATTAAATCAAGCTGAATTGAATAAACCTGTTGTACTCATACCTGTCTCATTTATGATCACGGTCGGCGATAACTTCGAAGAGCATATGATTCAATTTGGTGATGCTGATAGTACCGAAAATGAAGACTTTGATCATCCTGGTCAATCTGTGACACAACGTTGTAAATCTTATATCTTTCATTTGAAACATCATAATGGAAAAAGATTGCGTATTATTGATACGCCTGGCTTCGGAGATACACGAGGTTTAGATCGAGATGATTTCAATATGCAACATATTTTGACATATGTCAATAATCTGACACATCTGAATGCTGTATGTTTTCTTCTCAAACCAAATGTGACGCGACTGAATAGCTATTTTCGAACATGTGTTACTCAGTTGTTAGCTCTTCTAGGTACCCATGTTGATAAAAATATTATCTTTTGCTTTACTAATGGAAGAAGTACTTTTTACACTCCAGGAAATACTGGTCCTCTACTTCGAGTCATGCTCGATTCACTCTCCATGAATCACGTTATATTAAAAAAACATAATACATTCTGTTTCGATAGCGAATCATTTCGATACTTAGTCTCTAGACAACAGTCAATAGCATTCAATGATCTCGACAAACAAGAATATGAAATAAGTTGGTCAAATTCAGCAACTGAGTCAACTCGTCTTATCAATTATATTATCAATAGTCTCCCGGTATATCATATACATAATCAATTGAAGTCTATTAAACATGCTCAACTTGAAATTATTCATATGATTCGTCCACTTTTAGAAGCAATGAAAAATATTCTTCGAAATATTATCTTATTCGATAATGAGCCTTCGAAAATATCGATTAAACTATGTCCAAAAGTTATTTATCATCCTACCACTATTTGTCTCTCATGTGACCGTCATGCTATACAAGTGGCTAAGTTCTGGATTTTATGTGATTATCATAATGAAGTTAAAAATAAAAGACCCACTTGTTTGTGTGCTCCTGATCGACACCAATCAATCGATTATACATTGGAGTATGAAACCATCAACAGTCCTGCAAATCATGATAAAAATAGATTGATGGATCAGCTTGCATTATTACTTCATACCTGTATTGAGTTTACTCATTTTCTTATGAGCACAGCTCACTCTCTGAGAGATGATCCCTGTTTAGTTGCTTTAACACGAATGATTGACGAAGAGAAGGAGATTTGTTCAGAAAATAAACCACAACAGTTGAACTCATATTTGGTGCAAGAATTGGAAAATCTGAAGAAAAAATATGAGAGTCGAATACATGAAATAAAACCAAATCAAAATATAATCGAATTACCAGTTATATATGAACGAATTAAAATTGCCAGTAATTATCCAGAAGTAGATGAACAGATGGCTGCTGTGAAAAAAGGACAAGAGAACTTGATGGCACTAAATTAATATGAAGTACCAAATAATCAAATAAATGTACCTGCGATTTGCCCGAATATTAATGAGCATAACCCATCAAATGTTGAATATTTTTAATGAGAAAGAGTAAATTTTCTATCTTTCAATAAAAAGATGTCGCGTTCTACAGAGTGATATAAATAAAAACTACAGCAGTAGAGATTTTTTCTTCCATACACACTCAACAAAAATTGATCGAATCGCCTGAAAAACTTGATTACTGAAAAATAACCTGTAATTGTAACTTTATACAATTTCAGGGTGTGAGTGTGGGCGGGTGTGGGTGTGTGGAAATCAAGTAATCAACTCTCATACCCACACCCACACCCTGAAAAATCGTATCAGCTTAGTTTTTTTTTAAGGATGTCATTTGGTGAATTTCAGGAAGGCAGCAAAAAAAAAACAAAATAAAAAATGTAGGGATAGTATTTAGAATTTATTTTTCATAAAAATACACATTATTATGTATGACAGCGATAGCAAAAGTAGATAAATGAATTAAACACTACAATATATTCAACAAAGGTAGTATTCAGACTCTGCACAGTACCATGATCTCTAGAGAAGATCAGAACAAGGTACAAAAAATTAATTCTGCAAGCACCTCTGATGTCTATATCAAGAACTGAGAAATAGGACATTTCTTTTTTTTTCACTAAACTCAAGGTTTTTTAAATTTTATAAAGGACAATTGCCATTTGAAATGTGAAACAGTGGTGTTTAGTAAAATATTTAAAAAAAAGAAAAGTCGTTTCATTCTCGACATACAAAAGAAAGTGTTCTTAAAGTATTTCTAGATTAATAGTTTGCACACTAGCTATGTCAATGGGTCATTCAAATCTCATAATAGATAAAAAATTAATATAAATCGAATGTTTCAACAGTAGTCTTTGCAATAAATTCCAGGTAGATATTTTTTTAACATTCCTTTTTCCGCTAAAATATTATCAATTTTTTTATTTTTCGCAACAATAAAACAAAATGATATTGTTTATTATCTTTTTCATTTGAATATAAATAAGTCTAACTTGATTCAACTTCGTGATAAATTTTGACAGAACACTTAGTACAACGTCATGTATATGTATTTGATCTATTATATATAATGACTCGTGGTGTAATTTCCATCGTATCATACTGAAATCAAAATGATCAAAAAATTTATGCGTGTTTTTTTTTCTTTCTTCGCATGTGAATATAATGTATAAGGCATATCCATGCAATTACTGTTATGTAACGTCCTCTCTCTAATTTAGAAAAGGTGTATATTTTGTTTGAATGTGATGATGAAAAAGTGCATATACGTCATAGTGTATGTAGCTTATCTCGACCATATCAGTACTCACTCAAAATTCATCTTCATTCGCTTTTCTCAATGCAATCAGCATGACACAACAAATAACTGTTGGAGACATAACTGTTTCCGCTGATATGGATCAATCGATCGGTAATATTGTGTTGAATTGGACTCGACGTTCTCATCCTCTTTCAAATCCACAATATCATACACTTCAAGGTCAATATTGTCGACTTGAATTACTCAATTCAAAAACAAATGATACTATCATTCAACAACTTTATGATGTATTTAAACCAACCGAAGACGTTCATTTTAAATATTTAAAATACGGGCCATTTAAAACAGTCGATGAATTTAAACAATTTGTATACATAAAAGAAAAACCCAGTAGTGATTACGTATTATACACTATATTCGTCAATGATATAGCAGTAGGATTTATTAGTTATCTGAGAATAAATCAAGATCAAGGTACAATTGAAATTGGAAGTATAAATTTCAGTCAATATTTAGTAAGAACTCGACAAGCTACTGAAGCAATTTTTTTATTATTACAATTTGCATTTGATACACTTGGTTATAGAAGAGTAGAATGGAAATGTGATGCTTTAAATACAAAGTCACGATATGCAGCAATTCGATTAGGTTTTCAATATGAAGGTGCATGGTTGAAAGCAGAAGTTTGTAAAGGTCGATCAAGAGATAATTCATGGTATAGTATTATCGATGATGAATGGCCACATATAAAAGAAGAATTACAAAGATGGTTAAATCCAGAGAATTTCGATATGAATGGACAACAATTGACTAAATTGAATGCATCTCAAGTTAATCCACGTCATACTAATATTATAGATGCTAATTAGAACAAGAATAGACTTGTATAAAATTATCTTTTTTTAATCTTTGTTAGTTTCACTCTGATGATAATAAATTTTATTTTCATGATTCATTTTAATCAGTAACTGTTGTTTTCGAATAAATATCTAATGATCAATAATTCTGTATCGTTATCAGCTAATTATTGTTAGGAATCATGAAATGATAATTCAAATTCGTGAATTGTCGTAAAGAGTTCATCGATCTAGTCTTTCAACAGAACTGAAATTGAAAAAAATGCTGCAATGAGTAGTAAGATACCGATATAATTAGGTACTACTAATTTATGCAAACAGCACAAACACCCACATCTGGGAGAGTTATGCACACAAACACCGACAAACACCCACTTTTCAGGAGTCCTAGAAAAAATAAACCGTCAACAAAGACCAAAAAACGACCCCTCTCAACACAAACACTCAGGATCTCTCTTATGGTCCAAATAAACATCCCAACGTGTCTTGACAAACATCCACAGAACTCCATAAGCTATATTCTGACACCAATAAGTGCCATCCTCGAAATACTTTTCTTAACAAACTTCTCTCTGGCAACATATGAGACCGATCCAAATATGTCTATAGACATCTACTAACACCCAGGATCTCTCTTATGCTCCACACAAACACACCAAATTGTCTTGACAAATACCCACAGAACTCTATAATCTGCATTCTGACACAAATAAGTGCTATCCTTGGTTAACTTTTCTTGATAGACTTTTCTCTAGAAACATCTCTTAATATAAAGAAAATCCTTAAAACAACTAAAAATGCATGAAAACAAGAGAAAAAGTATAAAAACATCTATAAATATAATGTTCGGTGTGTGTGTCTGTCTGTGCCGGGTCAAAGGTTAAAGGTCAAATAAGGCTATAAGAGGGGTGGTTCCCAAGGCATTATATGGGGACCATAGTTCGTCAAGGGCTATCCTATGGGGGTACTCATAGCTCCTCATGGGCTATCCAGTGAGAGTACCCATATGTCCACAAAAGCTATCCTGTGGACATCTATAAGTCGTCAAAGGCTATCCTATTAGGGTACGCATAGGTCCACAAGAGCCATCCTGTGGGAGTATCCATAGGTCTTTAAGGGCTATTCAGTGAGGTACCCATAGGTGTTCAAGGACTATTATATGGAGGTATCTATAATTGCTTTTGAGTGTAGACTGTGTGCATTTGGTAGACTCAAATGAACTATGAATACCTCTGAAGACAGTTCGTGCTCTTAGCTTATTGCTGTGGGAACAGAAAAACTGATTTTCGAATTTTGATTTAAAACTTACACAGAGACAGGCGTTAACGAGAATAGTTTCAGATCTGGTTGCTGTTTCTATTCTAGGATACAACTATGGTAATAGCGTGGCTTTTACATCACTGAGAAGCCAGTAGATTTGACTTTTTTCTTTCAGAATAGAAGCAAATCAAAAGGCCTGAAACTTTCACAATAAACTACTCTCGTTAAGGTGTATCTCTATGAAAAGTTTCAAGTCGAAATTTGAATATCAGTTTTTCTATTATGATGGCATTTATAAGCTAGAAGCACGAACTCTTTTCAAGATATTGATAGTTCATTTGGATTTACATAATTCATAGAGTTTAAACTCAAAAGCAGTTAAACAGTTCGAAGACTTCGTCATCAGTGAGATTAACAGAAGCCTAAAAGGGTTGGTCCCTATGGGCTTTTGATGCTGAATTATTACCGGTTCACTAGATATTCGACTCACGTGTAAGTAGTTCCTGAAAAGTCAAATTAAGAAATTTCGATCTTAAATTTTACCTATAGATACTTTTAATGGAATGCTATGTTGTTTGTTGAACGGCACTTTGATCGACAGACTTTTCGTCGAAGTAACTTTGTCGAAATTTTTTTGTAGAAAAGCATTTCATCGAAAGTGGATTATTTTCTTCTTATTTATCTTGCCGTCAGGAGACGAGTTCAAAAGTATCTCCTAATTAACTTTGTCCCTTTGGCGATGGTGAAAGAATTTCAGGGCACTATTGAATAGAATTACATACTTTTCGTCGAAAAGTACTTCAAGGCAAGGTTTGTAATCCCCGAGACAATTCCGGATTCTTCAATTCTTCTACAAAACTGTTCAGACTTAAGAGGACAGTGAATTTTCTTTCACACTCACGTTTGTAGTGCCCTCGCCCTCACACTCACATTTGAAGTGTCTTGCATGGCTGTTGCCCTCACAGTCGTGCTCACTCTCGCTCACCCTTGCCTTCACGTCATGCTCACCCTCACCCTCACGCTTACCTCACCTTTACATTTGGAGTACTCTCCATAGCCAAGAAAATACTTTCGACGAAAAACAGATATCTATCTGAGTTTATTGATGAAGTGCTTTGTCGACGAAGTGTCGTGTCGAAGAATAACATGATTACCCTTTTAATGACTCTTAGAATATTCTGACAGTTTCAACCGAAAATAATATTTCTTCGTCGATATATTAAATTTCCAAAAATAGTCTTGGGTCACAAAAATTGAGTTCGCTTGAAAATTCAATAGCTCGATGAAGAAAAATTCTTTTAGGATATCCTAAGAATTAATATACATATCTTTGGGCAAAAATTTTGGATCGAAACTGTGTTATTTAGCATTTCATGATGTACCTAAAATGGGGACGAACTCTTTGAGGCATTTGATAATCTCACGGAAATTTGCCTATGGATTCAATATGAGCTCAAACGGCGGATGTCATTTAGAATAGTTTCCTTGTTAAAAATAAGCCCTTAATGTGGATTAATGAGGTCGACTTTAGCTCGGTCCAAAAATTTCTGTATTAAGAAACTGTTACTTTCTTTTTCTTTTTTATTACAATAAAAAAGGTTCGTGTACTCGTGTAATCGAATATTGATTTGATTAATTCTTAAACCCATCTATGTGTTGTATAATGAGAGAAATAAATATTTATTTAAGAATATGAAGACTCTTTATTCAGATGAATGTATGATTTTTGTTGTTATTATTCACTTTGATATTTATTACATGTGGATTTGGGGAGAAAAAGCAAAAGGAGAAAGACAAAACTTAATGTAATTTTACTTGCTCTAAGTATTGACGTCTTAATATGTCACATATACGAAAAGGAAAAAGAAAATGAAAATTTTAATTTATTTGTCCACATTGGTTTCGAAGATTTTTACGTTGACTGACATGAATAAAGAAAAGAACGACGAAAACATAAATCATATTTATTGACGTAAATGTCTTTTTTTTCTTATTGAAAGAAAAAAAATATAATACATGTATATATAATAATCAATAATGCATTTTTTAATATCGACTTTTAGACCATCAAATATATTGAATGTTTATCATTTACCACCTGTAATAGATAATGACGACAACAGTATTAGAAACACCTATTATTGATCATATTATTGCATCCGAAAAATATCGATTTGAAACATTTTCTAGGTAATTATTTACATAATTTGTTCATGAATTTTTATTAAATTTATTTAGTTTATTAAATTTTCCATTAATAACACGTCATCAATTAGCTCTTGCTGGTTTTATCTATCGTGAAACAAAATGTTTATGTCCACAATGTGGTATTACTATTGATTTAATATCTTTAGATGATAATGCTACATATGCTTCAAATTATTTTCGAAAATTACATCGAGAAAAAGTTTCTTATCTTGGTAAACGTTGCGCATTTTTATTATGTGAATCAGCTACAAATATTGATGATCTTCATCCATCATTAATATCTCAACAAGGAGAAAAATTACAATGGGATGATGCTGAACAACCAGATTTTAGTGATTATAGTGAACGTCTTCAAACATTTCATTCATGGCCTTATTTACAACAAGAAGAAAATACTTTTGTTACACCATCATTATTAGCTAAACATGGATTCTATTTTTCAGGTACAAAACCTTTTTTTTACTTTTTATATTAAAAATAAAAATTCGAAATTTTAGGTCCCGATGATGGTGTTACTTGTTTTTATTGTGGTAATACATTAACGAATTGGTCAGAAGCAATTCATGATACAAATCAAAATATTGTTCAACTTGAACATGCACGATTTTTTCCATGTCGTTTTATTACATATACAGCTGGTACAAAATTCGTTGCTAATGCTGGTTATTTACATGTTGTCTCTGATAAAGGTAAATAGTATAATAATCAATCAAAACTAATTAAATTTTATTTTTAGAACGTCGTTCTCGTAATCCTATGATATCAAAAGTAATAAAAAGTTCTAATAAACCTCAATCAATTGATGAATGTTTATCAACATTTGAAAATTGGCCTAGTGATACTCCAATATTACCTAAAGATTTAGCTCAAACTGGTTTTTATTATTTAGGTGAAGAATTAAAAGTAAAATGTTATATGTGTGATCTTGAAATTGATGAATGGTATCATGGTATGACAGCATTTGGTACACATAAACGATATGGAAGTAATTGTGAAATAATTCAAGCAATTCTTAGTACAGAAACAGGTGATTTTCAATGTGTTAATGAAAAATGGCGTTTACAAACACTTGATGGTTTATCATTTGAAAGTGATTGTGATCAACATTTATGTCGAGAATTAGCTGCATGTGGTTTTTATCGTTTTAAAAATACAAATAATATTCGTTGTGCATTTTGTGCAGTTTTAATTCAACCAAAAATAGATTCATCAATTATGTCTCAACATCGAAATTTAGCTAAACAATTAAAAAAATCTTCAACTATTGATTGTATTATGGTTCGAGCACGATGTCCAACGAATATTGTTATACCAGATCGTGAACGTTTTCCAGAACATCCAGAATATCAATCTATATTTGATCGAATTAAAACATTTGATATTTATCAAGAACGTTATAAAGTTTTCGATAATTTTATACGTGAAAGAGCTGAAGCTGGATTTTTTCTTGATAGTACGTATTTTTTGTTTAGATTATTTGTTAAATAAATATATTTTATTTAGCAATGAAACGTATGAGATGTTTTCAATGTGGAAATTCATTA